GAAATTGTATAGTTAATAACGAGATATTTATATAAATATAAATATATATATTATTTATTAAAAATTTATTAATAATATACGTCCTCTTCTATAAATTATCTTTGTAATATTTATAAGAAAGGGGAAAAAAAAATTCAAGTTTTCGTTTTTTCAAGATCAAAGTGCCTTCTTTCAATTTAAATAGGACTGTTTTATAGTCAAGGATTGTCGTTTTGTGATATCGAATATTCTCGTAATGCTGTGATGCTTTCTGACATCAATTTTATCACACACTGCCCTGAATATCTAATTAGTTTACTCAAGAGAAGTGAGTTAAATGTTATGCAGTCTGTACGTTCGGCGAATATTTTAAGTGACTATTTTCTGTTATATATTCTCTTTTTAAATCCTTCTTGCACTATTTAAGGAGTACTTTTTTTTAAAAAAAAATAAGAAAATAGGATTTTTAAAAAAAAAATCATCTTAGTTAATGTTTTATATTGATTTACTCACGCTTGAACTTTAAAGAATGTAAAGATTATGCGCGCTAATACAGCCAAACCTGGATATAGAGCCATTTGTTCGATCCTAAATCGATTGTGGCGCTAAATCGAAGAATCTCACACTTTAAATTACTTGATTTAGTCACGATAATGTTGTTTGCAATGCAGAATCTTATGTGATTCGGTGATAGTTAAAGATTCTACTATTTAATAGTTATGAGGAATATCCATTTACAAGCATCGATAGCGCTATAAGGGGTTGGCGCTATATCGAGGTTTAACTGTATATAGAGAACGAATCAGTTTTTACTGTAAATGCTCAAAATTATTGTAAAAAAACAAAGAAAAACGTTATATATTTCATAAAAATGAATATAAAATACTAATGTAAAGAATAAATGAACATTTAACATGGCATTTGAAGGGCTGCTGGCTCTGGAAACTTTCATTTGTCCCATGATGGAGCTAAAAGGAAAAAAGGAATGGAATTGTTTGGCTTTTTTTAAACTCTCTCTGCCTTGTGGGTACTAAGAANAAAATACTACTTAAACGCCATTTTCTAATTAGTCACATACAAGATTTTTTTATAGAAAAAATAAATAAATATATATTGTTAGAACACGATTTTTAAAAATCATTTCGCCTAATATTCTTATTTTGGCATTTTAATATCAAATTATCACATCATCAAGCGTTACACGCCTTCATTCACACGAAGACAATCATGCACATATATGTGCTACAACATTATTTTCTCTCAAATGTTTCATAGACTGCACGGTGGAAATGTGCAATTATCAGATGCAATATCGAAGAATAAACTGTATAAAATACTATATTAACATTTTAAAGTCAACATATTCTAAATATTGTCGAAGGTGGATGATCGTATAAATTTTTATATATTATATAATATTAATAAAGATTTTTTTGAAAACCCTGGTCTTTTTTTTTTACTTGATTTTATATCGCTTTAAAAAAATATATTATATTATTAATAATTAAACAAAGAGAAAGTTTGGCGATCGGTCAGAAAATAACCCCTTGAAACTATCGAGAAATGCAAAAAAATTCGGGTTTTTTTTCTGTATATATGGATGTTATTCCCCTACTTTGAAGCTTAATAACTCCTATACCTTTTGTCAAAAATTTCTGAAATTTTGCAGGGAATTTTGTGTATTTGGGAAATTTATGCTACTAAATTTTGATGGTCAAAGGTCAAGGGGGTGGAGAGATAGAGCGGAGTAATATATATCTCGAGTGGGATCGAACGTAATAACGATTTTATTCGTTATTAGCATGTACAATTTTTTTTTTTATAAAATTCATCTCTACACTCAAAATTAAGATTTTTGTCGTTTATAATAATTAATAATATAAATTTTTTTTTAAAATAAAATATCATAACAGATGGTGCCACAAACAATTTTAAAGTTTGGCCGGGAAAGTTATGCAACTCGCTACTGAATTTTTTTTTTTTTTTTTATAGATTTAAAGTTTAACAAACGCTTTACTAGTCTATGTAAATTTAATAATGTTGTTTTAAATATTTTGAAAGGTAATTAAAATCAAGTTAGTTAATATTGGAATATTTCCAGAAAATCTTTAATTTTTAAAAGAAAAAAATGGTTTAAATTATTTTACTCTTTGACAACATAAAGCTTTTTTGTTAACGTCTCTGTTTTAAATACATACAAAATAACCTCCAAACAACGGCCCTTTTTCTTATTTACTCTTCGGTGGCCTTCGTTCAGAGGTTTGTCTGTATCTAATATAAATTTTCCCCACGTTTATTTTTATTTTTATTGACTTATAAATAAGCTTTAACTTCTATAAGATCGCTTTTATTTAAGCGATTTCTAACAAAAATCCTAGCAAAAAATAAAATTTTAATTTTTATATACTTGTCACTCCTATACGCTGCATAATACTTAACACGTCCGCAGCATTGTTCCTGAAAGATCACCAGCAATAACTCTTACATAAAAAAAAAATGCCTGATATCGAGTAAAATAATAAAGAAAATAATAAAAAAAGTCATTAAATATAACAATACGTTTCAGTTTTTTTAAGTATTTTTTTCGACTTTCTGACAAAGAAATGTGGGTGTGCCATATAATGTGGCACACGTCTAGATTAATATTATCTCGAAAAGTGGGATGAATATTCCAAAGCAGATGGTGACGTTCGCTACATAATACGGGTCGATAATGCGAGAGATGGTCAACAAACCCCCATAAAACGTCTTTTACTAATGAACATCTCATCTTCTTCCCCTCATTTACTTAAAGCATATAAATGCTAATAAGCTTTAATTTAAACTCAATGTCTTGTCATTATCTAAAAGAGATTTCTTTCATAGCTTCCTAAGTTTTCTTTCTTTTCCTTATTTCTTTCATTATAGGAAACGATAATGAAAATGGTAGATCATCTGAATCTTATTGAATCGAGTCTACTTGTGAAAGTGCGAGCCACGCAATTTGGGTGTGGTTCTAAGGCATGTTCCACTTTATCTTGCAAGGGTGAAAATCTTCCGTAATAATGTTTTTAAAAATATAAAGGTTTTTCTCCCATTTATAATTTTATGCTACTTAATACAAGTAAAAAAACAAAAAAAAAACACTAAGTAATTTTACTCCTATACTCCATGAAAATCTTATAATTTTAATGCTTATCATTTATGATTATATCTTCTTCATCTTTATAAAGGTTGATCTCTTCAATACAATTTTTAGCACTACATATTTTAGTTTTTCACTATTTTCTATAGGAAATATTCAAGATAAATATTATATAGGATTTATTTTGATGGTTATTCTTTAAGGTAAATCGTATGATTTAAGCGTTAAAATAACGTTAGAATAACCATTAAAGTAATTTTTATAATGCTTAATTCTTATCATTTACTCTCATATTTAACTTTAAAGAAGTTAATAAACAAGTGTATACCTCAGTTATATGGTTTATATTCTAGTGTACAAGCCACGTAATCATCCAATGAAGAAGAAAATTCATCTTGGCACTTGGTAGGATCCTATCTACATCCTTTATATTTTAACCAAACGTTTCACGTTTTTTTGCTGTAAAAAACAAAAAATATAATATAAAGTTTATTTAAAACCTTTATTTTAAAAAAAAATTAAACAGAGTTTGTGTAAGGATAAAAAACTCTTAAATTTTCCAAGAATCTTCGCATAAGATTTTCTTGGCGAATCTTTAAATAATTTTCATTCTCTATTGAAATTCCTTTCTATATTTACTTGATTATTACTTAAAATAAAACTTTCTGTAATAAATTACTTCAATTTTCTCATACCAAACCTTAGTACATAAACGTCCCACGCAGTTTAATTAAACACATCGGAACAATAAGGCATTCTCTAACGTCACGCGTGACACTAGTGACCGTCACGTGAGCTTGCATATTTTAAAACATCGTCTTTGTTCAAAAATCTTAACAAATAAGATTAATTTAGTTACAATTCGGTGCATTTACTCTACAACAATTGTTACAACTTATTAACGTGACTTGGTTACTGATTTTATAATTAGAAAATCTTCTGTTTATGTCAAGAAAAATGTTGTATTTCATCTATACAATGCATTTATAATATATTAAATATTCTTCCCTGTAATAAAATAATAAGAGAATGATACTTGATTCCTATTTAATTCCATTCTAGATGAGATAATTACTTTAAACTTCAAATTGTGTTTATTTTGCGATGATACTTTGATTAGTTTCTCTATTTATAGTTGCGGTAATGTTTAATTTGACTATCGAACGCCTAACTTTGATAGAAAATATCATATTGCATAATTTCTGCTTTGTTATTACGATGGATCTTGTTGAGGACCTCTGCTGAGAGCCCATATTGTAGCAGCCCATAGATTTATAATGTATAAAAATGCTATTAAAATGGCATCTGTACGATTCGTCTTTTGAAGATCGAATCTGCCCGTAATGATCAAAAATTAATATAGTGTATA